GAGAGAGAGAGAGAGAGAGAGAGAGAGAGAGAGAGAGAGAGAGAGAGAAAACAGGGGAGGGGCAGAGAGAGAGGGAGAGAGAGAATCCCAAGCAGGCTCTGTAGTCAGCACACAGCCCGATACAGGGCTCAAACTCACAAACCATAAGATCATGACCTGAGCTGAAATCAAGAGTTGGATGCTCAACCAACTGAGCCACCCAGGTGGCCTTTCTTAGGAAAGATATCTTAAGATAGAGCAGTACCATAAACTCTTCCAAAGGTAGTGGGAGTGATATGACACCAGACTTCCCATTAACACAATTATGGCCATAGCTAAGGGAAAGGGATCTCCTCCTAAACATCTCTTCCTTTCCCATTCAGTTGGTTAAATCTTCAGGGATAAAGGCATCATGGGCAGTAACTCTCCCGTCAAATGAAGGAATGGCTGGGGGAGGTGGGGGCAAGAGAACCACAGGGAACAGGAATATAAGAAACAATTTTCTTAGGACTCCACAATGGAGGGCACTCTGGACAGGTTAAGAATGGTCACAATCTTGGGGCACCTGGGTGGCTTAGTCGGTTGGGCAACCAACTTCACTCAGGTCATGATATCATAGATCGTGAGCTTGAGCGCCGCATCAGGCTCTGTGCTGACAGCTCAGAGCCTGGAGCCTGCTTCGGATTCTGTGTCTCCCTTTCTCTCTGCCCCTCCCCCACTCACGTTCTATCTCTCTCCTTCAAGAGTAAAAAAACATTAAAAAAAAAAAATGATCACAATTTCAGGGCACCTGGGTGGCTCAGCTGGTTAAGTGTCTGACTTTGGCTCAGGTCGTGATCTCATGGTTCATGAGTTCGAGCCCCGCTCAGGCTTTCTGCTGTCAGTGCAGAGTTTGCTTCAGATCCTCTGTCCCCTTCTCTTTACCCCTCCCCTGCTCTCTCTCAAAAATAAATAAACATTGGGGAAAAAAAAAAGGGGCGCCTGGGTGGCTCAGTCAGGTAAGTGTCTGACTTCAGTCTGGGTGTTGCGGTTTGTGAGTTCCAGCCCCATACTGGGCTCTGTGCTGACAGCTCAGAGCCTGGAGCCTGCTTCAGATTCTGTGTCTCCCTCTCTCTGCCCCTCCCCTGCTCATGCTCTGTCTCTGTCTCTCAATAATAAATAAAAGTTAAAAAAAAAAAAAAAAAGAATGGTCACAATCTCAGGGAAGCCCCTTCAACACATCCCACAAACTTTTGTTGCGCACTTGATTTTACAATTCCTAGAAAGGGGCCCTTGGCTCTTAAGTAACTCTAAAATAGCCACACTCATGTGCTATCCTCAGATGTTTTATCCCAGGACTTAAGAATATAATAGTCACACAAATATGAGGTCTCAGCCCTTAAGCAAAATTTACTTATTTGTCCTAGGAAAAAGAAACTGTTAGAAAAAGACATCAGTGGTGGGCCACCCTGCCATTTCATACACCCAAATCCCTGGAAAGGTGTATTGTGAAGCTGTTCTAAAGGAACGTCTGGTCAAGTACCTGGCCTGTCCTTCTAGCCTTCTTTCTTTGACTCTAGCCAGGCTTGCTACTAAAAGAATACTGTAAGGATGATTATAATGGCTGCAGGCTGCATGTCAGAATCACGTGGAGAGCATTTAAAATGACATATACCTTCATACATTGCTGCTGGGAATGTAAAATGGTACAGCCACTTTGGAGAACAGTTTGGCAGTTCCTCAAAAAGTATGACCCAGCAATTCCATTCCTAGGCATAGACTCAAGAGAACTGAAGACATACGTCCACACAAAAACTTGTACTATGAATGTTTATAGCAGTATTATTCATAACAGTGCTTCTATAAAAGTAAAAACAACCTCTGTGTCTATTAACTAATGAATGGATGAATAAAATATGAATAATATGGGGCACCTAGGTGGTTCAGTCGATTGAATGTCTGACTCTTGATTTCAGCTCAGGTCATGATCCCAGGGTCGTGGGATCAAGCCCTATGCTGGGGTCTGAGCTAAGCATGGAGATTGTTTGAGATTCTCTCTCCCATTGCCCCTCTCCCCCACTCACAAGCTCGCTCTCTCTTTCCCTATCTAAAATATATATATATAAATATAAAATATTTATAATATATAATATTTATACATAATATAATATATAATATTTATATATATTTTCCCTCTCTAAAATATATATAAATATAAAATATTTATAATATATAATATTTATATATATACATATATATGAATAATGTATCCATAATAGAATATTATTCAGCCACAAGAATGAATGAAAGTACTTTCATATGCTACAACATGGGTGAGCTTTGAAAATCTGTTAAGTGAAAGAAACCAGAGACAAAAGGTTGCATATTGTAGGATTCCATATATGCTATGGCCAAAATGGGCAAATTCAAAGAAACAGAAATTAGTGGCTGCAAGGCCTGGAGGCAAAGGAAATACGGAGCAACTGCTACTGGTACAGGGTTTCATTCTGAAGTGATGAAAATGTTCTGGAATTAGAGGAGATGGCTGCACAACTTTCTGAATATACTTTAAAAATCACTTAACTGCATATTTTAAAAGGGTGATTATTTTATGTGGATTATATTTTAATAAGAAAATTATATTTAAAAACACTGAAGCATACACTTTAAAAAGGTGAATTTTATGGTATGTGACCAATATTTCAGTTCAGGATAACACTAATATCTACATCTAGGCCTGACTGATTTAAAAGATTCTGATTTCATTGACCTCAGAGTCAAGTAAGCATTTAAAGACACTGCGGTGAAACTAGAAAGGCAAGCCACAGAATGACACAACATGTTTATGACACAAAAAACTAACAAATGACTCACATTTGTATATACACATCAGTAAGAAAAAGACAGACAACCCCAAAATGAGGAAAAGACCCTAACTGGCATTCCCCAAAGAGGAAACCCATAAGATAAATTAAAAATATGAAAAGCTATTCAATTTATTTCTCAATCAGCAAAATGCAAAATAAAACTACAATGAGATATAATTAAACAATTCCAGACTGGCAAAAATTTGAAAATCAACAGGAAGTCTTGGCGAGGATGAAGAACAATGGGATTGCTCATACACCACTTGTGGTAGCATACAGAGCTTTGGAAAGCTAATGAAGTGGAAGATCTGCATGTCCTCACAACTAGAACTGTACCGGAACACAGGTATAAGAACATTTCACAGTTACAATGTTCAGAAGAGCCCCCCAAATAGAAACAACCCCAGCTGTCCATTAACAGAATGGTTAAAAGGTGGTATATTCATATGACTGAACACTGTATAGCAAATAAGAACAAAACTACAGCCATGTGCAAAAACATAGACTGAACTCAAAAGCATAATGATGAGCAAAAGAAGACAAATAATATGGTGTGATTCTATTCATAAAAGTTAAAAAACAGGTGCACAGTAAGTTATATAGTTAATGGATGAATACATAAGTGGTAAAACTATAACAAAGAACAAGAAAGTGATTTAGCATAAATGTCAGGAGTACAGGGGACTGTGACTGGCAAGTTGTATAGGGGTTTATGGGGTGCTGAAATGTTCTATTTCTTAATCTGGGTAACTGATTATGAAAGTGGTTGTTTCTTTATTCTATACTATACTACACTATACTATACACATTCAGGCTTTAAGCATATTTCTGTATAGGCTATTTTTCACAATAAAGTGATCTAAGTGGTTGAGGAGCACTGCATTAAAGGACAATTCAACAAAAATATATTTGTACATAAATTAATAAATTCGCAGAAAAGGAAAAAAAATGGTTTTAAACCGTTTGAACAGTGGATATCTCAGTGGGGAGTAGGGAGTTTTATACAGTAAGTTGAAAGTGGCCTGTATTCTTCTATCTTCTTACATATTTTTCAAGGTTTGTATCTAGTAATGAGCAAGTATTAAAAGATAACTTTTTAGAAGTTTTTTCAAATTTATTTGAGAGAGAGACAGACAGTGCCCCTAAAAGAACTTTTCATGAAAGATTTGGAAATGTCTTTGGAAGGATATACAAAAAAACTTGCCTCAGTTTTAAAAGGGAATAGAAGGGATATTTTTATTGTACCTCTTGAATTCCGAACCCATGTGAAAATTACTATTAAAAAAAATTTTTTTTAAGTAATTTCTGCACCCAATGTGGGGCTCAAACTCATGACCCAGAGATCAAGAGTCACATGCTCTACTGAGTCAGTCAAGTGCCCCTTACCCATTAAAATTTTTACTTAAAAGAAAGAATATTTCGGGGCACCTGGGTGGCTCAGTCAGTTAAGTGTCCAACTCTTGACTCCAGCTCATGGTCTCACGGTTTGTGAGTTCAAGCCCCACATTAGGTTTCTGTGCTGACAGTGTGGAGCCTGCTTGGGATTCTCTCCCTCTCCCTCTATCTGCCCCTCCCCTGCTGACTCTTTCTCTCTCAATATAAGTAAATAAACTTAAAAAAAGAATATTTCTCTCCAGTAACTTTTCCCACTACCATAGATATACACATTAGCAGTCTGTCAAACTAGCACAAGAGTAGCCTCTCATGCACAAGGTTCTCCCACACACTCTGTGGCACTTAGACAACAACCCTGTACAGAAAGGAGCTATCCTCTTAGAGGACTCACATTTTACAAATGTTAGGTAGCATGCTTGTCATGGCCCTCTGGCTAAATTCCATTATTCTTGCTAGATAGCAAAATGAATTCTTTCCCTGTACTTAGGTTACTATCATGGGGTAGTAAGGAAGAGTTACCTCTAAGAGGAGCTCCACACTGTCCACCTGAAGCTCTTGCAGTCCCACTATCTGTACCACGTGGTTGCTATCTTCTCTTGCAAAGAGCCTGCAGACACAAGAACATGGTTGGTACAGCAGACCTGCTATAATGGACTTTGTTCTTGCCTCCCCAGAAACCTTCCACCATTTCCCTATTAGGTAGCAGTTCTGTTATTTGAGTGAGATTGATATGTATCCTCCACGCCCCCCTCGCACACCTCCTGATCACAGCCCTGGGCTTCAGAGATGGTCCTTGACTATTGTAAACAAATCGACATCTTTGGCTACAATTAAAAGAATGAACATATAATGCAGACATATGCCAATCAACAGATGGTATATTCCTGGCTTTAGTGATTGGTTCAGGAGTGGATATGGGATCTCTGCTGGTCCAATCAAAATAGTTCTTGTCTCTGGTCGTTAGGTGCCTGGGGGTGAGGTGCTGGTGCTCTTTCTGGAAGTGAAAGTATGTGGCCCTGGGAGCAGTGGCAGCCATTCCGTATCTGCTAGAGGGTCAATTTTGAAAGCTAACATCATAGAAGGTAGAGCAGAGAGATGTACAGAAACTGGGTTCTACTCTATTTCCAACATAAGGAGTCTTCATATATCTTCCAAGGGAGGAAGGAAGAGCTGGTGCTATAACTGAATTTCTCAGGCCTATGTATAAGGCTATGGTCTATCATCATCATTAAACCAGATATATCAAGGGGCATATATTGAATCTATCAAAGACTCAAAGATTATTTTTCTCCCTTAATAAGATACTGATTAAGGTTAAGAATGGAATTCCACTTTATACCCAAAAAAGGAAATGATTTTCTCAAAAATGTTTTCTTAGTTTGTTTCACCCCAAATTTCCAAATTTTTACAGAACAACTGGAGAAAAACAGCTTCACCAATCCCCATGACCTATCAGAAACTAATTCTATTAGAACAGTCAGGCTTCTGGAATAAAAGAGGGATCAAGCTTTCAGAGCCCTCAGGTCATTCCTAAACATACAGGCCCTATGCCCTGAGCTCACCCCAGAACAGTTCCTAATGGACAGCCCAAAATGTACTTCTAGCTTTTTAAATTCTATAAGCCAGAAATGTATTTCTATCACTTTTTATGCAAGGCTATAAAAACAATTTATCCTCTACTTTAAGAGTTAATTTGTGTGTGTGGGGGGGTGGGGGTTGCTGGGGGGCTCAGTCAGTTGGTTTGGCTTCTGACTCTTGACTTCAACTCAGGCCATGATCTCACCATTCGTGAGTTTGAGCCCCGAGTTGGGCTCTGTGCTGACAGTGCACAGCTTGCTTGGGATTCTCTCTCTCCCTCACTCTCTGTCCCTCCCCCACCTCTCAAAATAAATAAACTGAAAAGAATGCAAATATACAGGGCAATATATCTGAGTCATTCATTAAAGAACCGCACTCACAAATAACTAGATATCCTGACTGTCCCTTCACCCAAAGAAACCAACAAACCAGACACAGACACACACACACACACACACACACACACACACACACACACAGCACAACAGCTTTTATCCCCTTGCCGACTGTTCTTTAAACAAAGAGGACTTCAACTTCCTGCATTTTGACCTCAAACTTTCTAAATGATTAAGTTCATTCCAGCGTATCATACTCTTAACTCTGGGAAAAGACCCTGCAGGCAAAGCATCCCCAGAAGGGAACACAAACTACCCCCTCAAGCGATAAAGGACTGTCCCAAGCCAGCAAGACTCTATCCATGATTGGCCCTAAGACAATGATCAACTTGACTTCACTGCCCACCTGCACAAACCCATTGACCTTTGTCCCACTTTCTCCTTATATAAACCTAGAAGTATTTTCGGCACTTTGGAGGCAATCTTTGAAATGTTAGTCCGTTGTCTTCCTGGTGGTAGCCCCACTGAACTAAATTCCTTTCTTGTTTCACCACTACTTGTTTCTCTGCCTTTGGATTTTGTTGGTGGCTAGTGGTTGAACCTGGTCTGTTTGAGACCTCCAGAGCCAGATGCTCTTGCCAGTGTCCAGCTACATTCTGACTGGAAAGGTCTCCTAAGTAATAGTGTTGGGGCCTTGGAAGAGAAGCTGTGATTGAACTAACTTGAAGCTTCAAAAACCAACAGAGGGTAATAAAGAAAAGCAACTCTTCTCCAAACCAAACCTAGAGCAGAACCCTCCTTTATTTGGCAGTTGCTGTGTCAGGACTAAACCCTGAACACCTGTACATCCTCTGAATTGTGGCATACCTAAAGGTCCCCTTTTCTTGGAATAGTCCACAGATGGTGGTCTGCCTAAGCCCAGTTGATGGCTTCTGCAGTTTCACTACTCAATACTCTTATAGGTAACAAAGGCAAGCTGAGAGCATAGTACAAGCTAACACCCCCACCCCCCCATCCCCCAGGTGGAATTTGTAAAACATTCCTCAGGCACTCTTGGCTGCCCAAGAACAAAGGAAAGGGAAAAACAAATGGTTAATTGATAGAGATCATCATGCAGGACAAGAGTTTGCATCAGTTTGCAACTGTCTTAATAATTTACAAGTAAAAAGGCAATCTCCAGAAACCTATGGACTCAATTTCCTAGAGCCCTAACCTCATTCTCCCCTCCACAGGATAGAAAATCCTATATAATCAGTCACTCTTCCCAACCCCAGTGCAGCTCTTTCTGCCACGGGTCCTGTCCTCGTGCTTTAATAAAACCACCTTTTTGCACCAAAGACATCTCAAGAGTTCATTCTTGGCCATCTTGGCTCTGGACCCCAACCCTTCAAACATCAGCACCTTTGGCATGGGGGCCTGCCCTATCACACTCTACTGAACTCAGATGCTCTTCTAGCCCAACCCCCATTCCAGTGTTTGCCTGGAATTTGCACATCCTTTTGGACAGCTCTGTAGGGGCTTGGATACCTTTGCTGGGGGCTAGTTTCTGTCACTGATTTAGTTTCCCCAGCCTACCACCATGCTCTGCCCCAATTCCCTTCTCTCCACTTGTGACTGCTCCCAACATGTCACAGTTCTGGTTAATTTGGTTATGACACTCTTTTATCTTTCCACCTCCCCTATTCCATCTCTCCTCCTTATCCTCCCAGTCAGTCGGTACCTTCACAACTTTGTTGTTTCCTGCTCAGTTAAAGTCAGCTCTTTCAACCTAAACAAAACTTTAGGCCAGAAAAATACAATAGGATTTAAATCCATTTCTAAGTTACTGTATTATGTTTCAAGGGCAACAGTTTAAGACTTAGAAGAGTTAGAAGTCTAACGTGAAGAAGAGAGATGTATTTAAAAAAAATTTTTTTTAACGTTTATTTATTTTTGAGACAGAGAGAGACAGAGCATGAATGGGGGAGGGTCAGAGAGAGAGGGAGACACAGAATCTGAAACAGGCTCCAGGCTCTGAGCGGTCAGCACAGAGCCTGACGTGGGGCTCGAACTCACGGATTGCGAGATCATGACCTGAGCCAAAGTTGGACACTTAACCGACTGAGCCACCCAGGCTCCCCGAGATGTATTTTTTTTTAACTGATCTCAGAAAATTATCATTAAGTTTACCCTAAGATTATTGAGAAAAAAAAATAAGAGAAAGCAAGAAACATTATTTATAGTTCTTCCAATGTAATAGGCAAAAGAATAGGAAGGTATTTAAGTACATGTTGATATCCTGATTTCCTGAAATCATCACCTTTTTGCAGATCAAAGTAAAAGGGATAGTCTTTTGATAAACATACGGATATAGATCACTTAAAAAATACTAATGGGGGCGCCTGGGTGGCGCAGTCGGTTAAGCATCCGACTTCAGCCAGGTCACGATCTCGCGGTCCGTGAGTTCGAGCCCCGCGTCGGGCTCTGGGCTGATGGCTCAGAGCCTGGAGCCTGTTTCCGATTCTGTGTCTCCCTCTCTCTCTGCCCCTCGCCCGTTCATGCTCTGTCTCTCTCTGTCCCAAAAATAAATAAACGTTGAAAAAAAGAAATTAAAAAAAAAAATACTAATGGAAGGCTAATTTGCATTCTTTTCTAGCTGAACTGATTTAAAAAATATTCATCTAATTCAGGAGACTCATCTCAGAAAAGGGCACTAATATAATAAGACCTTGTATTAAATCCCATGATCATCAATTCTATGGACCCTCGCTTAAAACAATGATGCACAGATTTGTAGTTTCCCATTCATAACCAGTACCTTTTTCTTCTATTTAAGAGGTCATAAAGCTGTCCACAGTAGATTTCATAAAAGCTGATCCACACAAAGAGGTGCCTTTTTGGCTGGGACACTTCTAGTTGCCTGAAGATCTCTTTGGCAGCCAGAGCATAGAGTCCTGGGTTCTGATGAGTTCCTATCATGGTGTAGGTCTTCCCAGCACCTGTCTGTCCATATGCGAAGCAGGTGGCAATCCCTCTAGGGGAAAAAAAATCATTTGTATAACATATACACTAAGAGAAATGTTAATCTACATACAGATTTTTCATGACCAAAGTCAGGTAGAAACAGAATCCTGTTTATAGCTGACAAAATTCAGCTATGAGCATACAATCCTTTAGGGAGAGGAGGGCTTTACATGATAAAAACACAGGAAGAGGAAAAAACATTCTTAAAGCAGCACATGAGTTTTTTAATAGGAATTTTTCATGGAACTGGTTATATGATAAGACAAGTCTGGAAGCAAATAAGAATTCCATGCTAGATGTCCTAGAGAATCTAAGAGATGATTTTGTCTTAATCCGAAAAAGCTTGATGAAAGAAGTAATAGAGAATTAAAATAAATACAAAAATAACAGAAGACCATATGATTAACAGGGTGGTAATGACTACTCATATAAATATTAATGAAGTTTAGATGTGAATAAGCAAGATATTTGAGGAAGGACTCACAGAAGGGTTTTTCTAAGAGCCTCAGTTTTCACTTTCATTAATAAATTAATTAGTTACTTGATTTCTAAGATCCCTTCTAGCTCTGACACCATGTGGTTCTAAATAAGAATCACTATTCTTGCATGTAGGGTGGGTATGTGCATGGGTATGAGTGTGAAGAACTGCAGAATAAAAGGTTCAGAGGAGAGCTGGGAAACTATCCTGCCAATCACCGCATGTTTTTGAAGGAGCTAGAGGCCAAGATTACCTTAGTATTGGAGGCTCAACTATGTAGTACAGAGTAGAAAATGAACATAATGTTAAGTAATAAGCAGCTATTGCAGACTCTTGAACAGGAAATTGCATGGAGATTAATGGTAAAAGTAGCTACTTGCAGTAAGAAAAAAGTCTGTGAATACACAGAAGTAAGGGAACACTGGAGGTGGGCAGAGAGAAGAACATGAAGAAAGAGGCCTGAAGCCAGAAAGAAACCCAAGAACCAGTAATAGGACAACAGCAAAGGAACCATATAAGTGTGAGAATAAAGAGATGGTAGCTAATCAGATTTAAGCTGTTTGAGCAGAGACCAGGTACTCCTTGTCTTTTGAATCCAGGCTCCCAGTAGTATGGGCATTTGAATACACTAGCAGAGGCACAGATAGGAAAGGATTAATGGAGGAAAATGTAAACACATTGCAGAGGATTTAGTAGAATGAGGGGCACCTGGGTGGCTCAGTGGATTGAGTGGCTGACTCTTGATTTCTGTTGAAGTCATGATCCCAGGATCAAGCCATGTGCTGGGGTCCACACTAAGTGTGCTCTCTCTCTCCCTCTCTCCCTCTCTCTCTCCCCCTCTCCCCCCTGCTCATGCTCTCTCTCTCTAAAATAAAAAAAAAGATTTAGCAGAATGAGAGTAAAGAATAATATCTACCTTATCTTCTGAACATTTTAGTGATGATCTTTTTGAAAAACAATATGGGCATGAAAAATCTCTTATTACACTTTGCATAATGGATGCACTTAACTTGTAGCTCTCTTATTTTTTAACTGGTACTGTCCTAACATTCAAATTCTAACTTTACAAACTTGCTCTCTTAAAAAGTACTCCCTAAATTTGATATATAAGAAATCAAACCTGAAAGGCATTTCACTTTTTCAGCCTACTTAGAATTAAAAAAATTTTAATGACTGCTATTAAACAACAATAAAAAGAAAACGGACAAACAAAAAAGGGGCAAATGAAGGTATCTGAATGGCAATAAGCACATGAAAAGATTCTCAGTATCATTAGGCATTTTGAAATTCAAATTCAAAGCACAATGAGATAAAGTTACATACCTATTAGATTGGCTAAAATAAGACTGACAATACCAAATATGGTGAGGATGTAGAAATGCAATTCACACACATTGCTGTTGGGAATACAAAATGGTGTGAGAAAAACTGTTTGACACTTTCTTTTTTTTTTTCCAACATTTATTTTTGGGACAGAGAGAGACAGAGCATGAACGGGGGAGGGGCAGAGAGAGAGAGGGAGACACAGAATTGGAAACAGGCTCCAGGCTCTGAGCCATCAGCCCAGAGCCTGACGTGGGGCTCGAACTCCCGGACCATGAGATCGTGACCTGGCTGAAGTCGGACGCTTAACCGACTGCTCCACCCAGGCGCCCCCGACACTTTCTTATAAACACACACATATCCTAAGACCCAGAAATTCCATGTCTAGGTTTCACCCAAGATGAATGAAAACATGTCCAAGAATCAAAGACTTGTACAAGAATGTTCATACAGCTTTATTCATAATAGTCCAAAACTGGAAACAACCCAAATATCCATCAACAGGAGAATGGACAAATTATGGTATATTCATAGAAAGGAATATTAGTAATAAAAACTACAGATACATGTACTAATATCAAAAAACATTATGCTAAGCCAAAGAAGCCAAGCATAAAAGAACATATATGGGAATGATTCTATTTCTGTGACATTCTAGAACAGGCGAAACAAATATATAGTGACAGAAAGCAGGTCAGTGGTTATATAAGACCTGAGGGTAGAGGTGGAGGTTAACCAAAAGGGGACACAAGAGAACTTTCTGGGGTAACGGAAATGTTCTGTATCTTGTTCAAGGTATTGGTTACTTGGATATATACAACTACTAAAACTCATGAAACTTGAATACTTCTTAAGATCTGTACATCTAACTGTATGTGAATTATACCTCAATATTTTTAAAGTTATAAAAATTATTTTTAAAAAAGTCAAGGGGCACCTGGGTGGCTCAGTTGGTTAAGCATCCAACTTCGGCTCAGGTCATGATCTCACCATTCGTGGGTTCGAGCCCCGCACCAGGCTCTGTGCTGACAGCTTGGAGCCTGTAGCCCGCTTTGTATCCTGTGTCTCCCTCTCTCTCTGCCCCTCCCCTGCTTGAGCTCTGTCTCTCAAAAATGAATAATTGTTTTAAAAAAAAAAGTCAAAATACTCTGGGGCACCTGGGTGGCTCAGTCAGTTAAGTGTTTGACTCTTGATTTTAGTTCAGGTCATGATCTCATTGTTTATGAGTTGAAGTCCCACATTGGGCTCCATGCTGGCAGTGTGGAGCCTACTTAAAGTTATCTCTCTCCCACTCTCTCTGCCCCTCCCCAGCTTGTGTGCACTTTCTCTCTCTCAAAAAAAAAAAAAAAAAAAAAAAAAAGTCAACTCATTTAAAAAATAAATAAATAGGGGTGCCTGGGTGGCTCAGTCAGGCGTCCAACTTCAGCTCAGGTCATGATCTCACAGTTGGTGGGTTCGAGCCCTGCATGGGGCTCTGTGCTGACAGCTCAGAGCCTGGAGCCTGCTTCAGGTTCTGTGCCTCCCCCTCTCTCTGCCCTTCCCCCACTCGCACTCTGTCTCTTGAAAATAAATAAATGTTAAAAAAATTTTTTTAAATAAACAAACAAAATTAAAAAGTCAAAATACTCTGGTATCAGTGATTATAGCAGACCATTTGGCATTTTCTATCAATAACATGCCTATATTTTGAATATACAACAGGGCTCCCTAATGCCTTTTCTATCCCATTTATATGTTTATTTAAAGTGTGATTATTTCAAAATTAAAAAAAAAATACATCTATAAAGAACAGATGACAGTCACTTACCTATCCCACTCCAATGAAAAAGGTAACAACTATATATCCAGAATACATAATTCCTGTTATCAAAAGTTCAAACTATAACCACCTAAACCTTTTTATTCTGAGGACTTTGATGAAATTATATTGCTAACAACATTTTTCCTGAAAATTTCTAAATGCTTGGTAACTCCTGTAGAGATAAGGCACTCTTTAACAGAGTCTAAATTCACCAGATTAAGACACAAATTCATGTTTAATTAAAAAACTGAAAAATGTAAGTGATGTTTATAAAGAAATATGATTATGGAGAAGAGAAAATATGAAGAGAAGCAAATAATTACTATCATACCCATTGAAAATATGCTGAATGAGTGGGTGAGTAGTCTTCATGTATACATCCCGGTTGGTGCATGCTTCACCAAAGACTTCATCAAAATAAAAAACATGCTGAAAAAGAAATGTGATTTTTATAGAGACATTTCCTGGATTTTCTTCACCACTATTCTAGTTAACACATAAGAAAGGTGCGAATATGTTTTTAACTACTGACTATGACAAATTTAGAGATAAATGAGCAATCAACTGTCAAATGACAGGGCCTTCTTTTACTTGAGATCTCTGTAGACATATTCTTATAATGTAAAAACTAAGGCACATAATTTTTGTTCTCTCTTAAGTGAAGTAAACTGATGAGTACAAGAGTAAGCCAATCCTCCTTAGGTCCAGGAGAACTCAATTCTATGGGGATTATCCTCACAGCCTAGCTAGGGCCAGCATATTTGAAATTTAGGGAAATTCTAGAGGAAGGTTTCCATTTCATAGGTTACACAGCTGAGCTTTTAATTCCATAAACATGTATTGCTCAGCTGGTAACATGTGTACCTGTAGTAGGCACTTCAAAGGGCCCAAAGATATTGACATTACCCTACCATTACCCCACTCGACCACCTAAAGGTGTGAATCCAGACAGTATACACATGACTCTAAGCTAGAAAAAATGTGAGAGATAAAGTACATGTAGAATTCAAAACAAAAACATATTCCTTCTAATTAGAAAAGAGATTATGAAAAATACTGTACAGATAAAGGGCCATGGGGGAAGAAGAGGAATTTGAGAGGTATAGATGGAGGCAGGGAAGAGAGTCCAGGCACAAAGAAAACATGAGCAAATAGTCAAAGCAGGAAAACACAAGGAACATTTTAGGGAACAGGGAAGATTCAATGTTGAAATACAGGATTTTGTAGGTAGAAAGGTGAAATAGGCGGCTAGAATAATGAGTTAGGACTATGGTGTATGAGTATTGGGACACTAGCCTTAAGGTCAGAATGTTCATATATAATTTAGCAAATAGTGGGAAGACAAAAAACTTTGCAAAGGGAAGGGATGATCCGAGCCATTTTACTGGAAGACTAATCTTACTGCACACTGTGAATGGACTAAGAACAGGGACACTGTTAATCTAGTGGTGAGGTAAGAAGGGTCTAAATTAGATGATGACAATGAAAATAAAGAGGAGATGGACGCATGAGAAATTTGGCAACTAATGGCCTGGATTGGTGGGAAGAAAAAGTAGTCCAAGATGATTCCCAAATGAAAAACCATGATAATTTGGAAAAGGATAGATAACCCTATTAAAAGGGGTCTGGAAAGCATTTAATTCAGCAGCCATAATCACTTGCAAAATTTAGAGGCTTATTATGTTGGTAGCCCAGCTATCTCTGAGTAAAAGTACTAATTTCAAGCTTGACTGTAGTGTAATAATGGCAGTCCATACACAACAAGGGGGACATGAGGCCCTATCTTCTGCTACCTCTTGGGCCTGCTCTAAATATCCAGGTAAGGAAAAATTGCATGGGAAAACCCAGCAAAGTAAATTGGGGCAATTTATTATAGGTCACTCTACCCACATTTGATTCTGTTTCGTGTGCCATTACATTAGAATAGAAATTTGTTAGGGCACCTGAGCAGAAATTGGGGCCACTAAGATGAATTTATCAGTTAGAAGATATCTCCAAAAGTTAGGAGGTGAGAAAATAAGGAATCTGTGCAGCATGATAAAGAAGTCTGTGAACTCTTAGTGGCATAAAATGTGATTAAAAAAATTTTTTTTTTGGTTTTATTTATTTTTGAGAGAAAGAGAGAGAGAAAGAGCAAGTGAGCATGGGAGGGACAGAGAGAGAGGGACACGCAGAATCCGAAGGCAGGCTCCAGGCTCTGAGCTGTCAGCACAGAGCCCGACGCAGGGCTGAAACCCACGAACTGCCAGATCATGACCCGAGCCGAAGTCAGACGTTTAACCGACTGAGCCACCCAGGTGCCCCAAAATATGTGATGTTTTTAAGAATAAAATGTTTCTAACTGTTGAATCTGGGTGATAGATACATAGGGGTTCTTTATATTTTTTAATAAACTTGAAAATGGCGATAATAAAAAGTAAAATATATTTCTAAAATATATTTTTTGGTGTTTCTCAGGAAAATAAGAAAAAAGTGAAAACAAGTAAACGTGGGAGTTTTAAAAATTTTTCTTTTACTTCATTGAATATATGGCTATTCTTCATCTCCTTCTATGAGTGCTTGTGAATAACTTCAGCTCCTGAGTAAACACCTTAGAAAACACTTATTGATTAAAGGGATTAGTATCTTTCCTTCCAAGAGGATTTTGGTATTGATTTTTCCAGTACTTCTGTAAGTATCCTTAATGAAAGATATATGAACATGCAAGATTATTCTAATTAACATGTTACATATGTTATATATGTTAATTATAATAATGCTATTTTATAAATATAATAAATGCTAGCACAATATATAAATATATATATAATCCATAATATTCTTTGCATCACAGATACTTTCATTTGATCACACTTTATCAATTAGGTTGGATTAATACTCACTTTAGCCTTGGTATGATCGGAGTTCCATAATTTATTTTTTAAATAAAATTTTTTCAGATTATCAAAGTAACATGTATATTTATAGAATTTCTCTGGAAAGATAGAACAGGTAATAGTGGTTGCCTTCAAGGAGGAAATGGGATTAGCAGGATACTTCACTGCATACCTTTTTGTATGTTTTGATTTTGAAATAGGTGACTCTATCTTACTCAAAAGTTTTTACTTTTTATATAAAAGTAACATGCTGATTATAGAAAATTTTAAAAACATGGAAAACAACAGAGAAGAAAATCAAATTGCCTATACATCTTACTACACAGAGAGAGCCACTATTGACTTTTTGATATATTTCAGTACCATCTTTTTTCTATATGTTTCTTTAAGAAATTGGAATGAAACATATACACATTTGTTTCCTTGTCCTTTCACACATTATGTTGATATAAAATTTAATGGTAAGACAGCACACTACATGTATATGATCATATATACTAAGTAACAAAAGAAGATTTGAAAGGATAGGACATTTAATTAAATGGATACATAAACCTATTGTCTGAATTCCTAAGTAAGCTTAAAAATAAAACCCAAAGAATCTAGGATCAATATTTATTTGCCATGTTTGCTATGAACCTCCCTTTACTTCTTTCCACTGAAGAAAAGAAAAGGGGGTAAAAGCCCTCCCAACACTTGTATTATAGCATTGATAGGTAAGGATTTTGACCTATGAGAGCAAAGGTCCTAAGTTCAAACTACAGAGTAAGTGCTATGAAAACTATGGGTATTCAATAAGTATTGACTAATGGTAATGACAAAGAAGGAAGGTTATTGTGTTTGGGGATAATGGAAAAATACAAAAGATAAGCTGATGCTTCTTTGAGGGAATTACCGTGACAAAAGCATCATTAATGATGTCTTGGGTAGATGGTGACTGGACAGGGCTATTACTACAGTTACAAGTAGGTATGGAACTAGATAACCTTATAACTAATTGGCATTTAGACCGTCTTCAAAATAAATATCTCCCATCTAGACCTAATAGATTGTGCATTGATCAGCAGTCAATAAGGCTGTTAAAGTGATTGGGTTGGTTATACAGTGACCTACTAATTTAGTGCCCAGACAAAGAGTCAGTGGATTACTTTGAACGTTGCTGTGAAACTCAATTTTGATAGCCAAAGAAAAAGATGAACAATGCATGTGTAAAAGAGGGGGAAAGTGTTAATTTGACTTCAGCGTTAACGTATTTATTCCAGGAGGGTAAAATCTCAGCTGACTAAAGTGAAATGCTAGCACAACAGATTACTCACCACTTTTTTCTCTCTACCAGTCACTGGGTTTTGAGGCAAGAGAAAGAGAGAGAGAAAGAAGAATGAATATAACGTGCATGTTTAGGGAGGCAGATTCAGAGAAAGAGAGACCCAAATTCTCAAATCTTAACATCCGGTAGATTATCCTCTGTTTTATTTACAATTGCTTCATCATTTTAAGAGTACCAAATTATGGTGTCTCCCATCTATGGGCTTGCTGCTTCCATAGGAGACTGGAGAATTACTACAAGGGTATCTATCTACTTTAAGTAAGTTCCCTTCAATACCAAGCCTTTGTCCTTGGACTCTTTGTGATCTTTCTGGCAGGGAGTGAATATTTTTTGTGTCTAAATTATCAGTGTTTTATGTAAATCCTTGTAAGTTACATGTAAAAATCATATCCCTGGATTACATTTACTCACACTATAATCTAACCTTCACCAAGTGGCCTGCTCAAGAGTCCAGTTTCCACCAAATTATCTAAGCCCAAAGACAGTTGAGAATTGAAATAAGCAGCTGAGTGGCAATCTGGAACCTTGTTGCTCAAAAACATATCCTCCTTCATTAAATTCCAGACACACTCAGCAGAATAAGTTCACACTGTGAGACACAGGCAAGACTTGAGACTAACTATGCAATCATCTCAGAGTCACCCTGGGGCATACCTCAGTGACCTGTCCTATCTACCACCAATTCATTACATTCTTTTTATCCCCTTGGGCCCCACTTTTTGCCGAATAGGTATAATTACATTCACGTAAAATGTGTTAAGCGAATGTATGATGCAACTCTATTGCCCTAGAGTGCAGAAATTATGTTATTGTTTCCCCCACTGCACTATCTATATATTTTTTTAATGAAGGCCCAGGGTATTAATGATTTACATCAAGAATGAATGTGGGGTGCCTGTATGGCTCAGTCAGTTAAGCGTCTGACTCTCGACTTCGGCTTAGGTCATGGTCTCGCGGTTTGTGAGTTTGAACCCCGCATCAGGCTCTGCGTGGAAAATGCGGAGCCTGCTTGGGATTCTCTCTCTCTTCCTCTCTCTGCCCCTTCCCCACTCTCTTTCTCAAAATAAATAAATAAACTTAAAAAATTAAAAAAAAAAAAAAAAGAATGCCAATACCCAAAGCTAAAACAGGATTTTAGAATTTGTGTGTTGCTATTCAAAGAAAAGCAACAAACTGACACACTTGATAACATTAGTTCCAAACACAAAAGGAAAGCATCATACCTGCAGAATATATTGTGTGAGGTCAACTGCTTCTTTCTTCTCATGAACAAGTAGAGTTTCTTTGTCTTCTACAGTAATAATATTAATTTCTCCACGACGTACCTCCCTTATGCCCAAAGGGCGTTTTCGAACACAAACTCTGATTTTCTCCATCTCAGTCCAAGGATTCTCTTTCTCTGAGGTGTTCTGTCTGATATATATTTGTAAGTGGGCTTTAAGTTTTAGTAATAGGATGACTACTTAAGAGGTCAAAGTATGAGCACATTTTGTTATTTTGTATATACATTATGCCTAATATATATACACACACCTTATACATATATATTATATATAAAAAACTTCCTCAGTGTCAACACTTTATTTTTTTAAATTTTTTTGTGTTTGTTTATTTTTGAGAGAGAGACAAAGCGTGAGCGGGAGAGGGGCAGAGAGAGAGGGAGGCACAGAATCTGAAGTAGGCTCCAGGCTCTGAGCTGTCAGCACAGAGCCTGACGTGGGGATCAAACTCACAGATGGCAAGAACATGACCTGAGCCCAAGTAGGACGTTTAACCTACTGAGCCACCCAGGCGCCCTGTCACTCTAATATGTAACATCACACAGGGTGCCTGGATGGCTTAGTGGGTTAAGCAGCCAACTCTTGGTTTCAGTTCAGGTCATGATATCATTTGTGACTTGGAGCCCGCATTGGTCTGTACTTACAGCGTGGAGCCTGCTTCAGATCCTCTGTCTCCCTCTCTCTGGTCCTCCCCCCACCCTGCCAAATAAATAAATGTTAAAAATACATGTAATTTTATACATACTATGTGGACAGAAAGTTCTTTTAATAACTAAATCCTCCTGGGGCGCCTGGGTGGCGCAGTCGGTTAAGCGTCCGACTTCAGCCAGGTCACGATCTCGCGGTCCGTGAGTTCGAGCCCCGCGTCGGGCTCTGGGCTGATGGCTCAGAGCCTGGAGCCTGTTTCCGATTCTGTGTCTCCCTCTCTCTCTGCCCCTCCCCCGTTCATGCTCTGTCTCTCTCTGTCCCAAAAATAAATAAACGTTGAAAAAAAAAATTAAAAAAAAAAATAACTAAATCCTCCTGATTATTTCTATCTCTATCCCTACTCCACCCCATCCTTTATCCTGCCGAAAACGAACCAACCCCCAAACCTTAAGAACTGCTTTAGCTTTAAGACTGTGTGTCTGACTTCCAGATGTGGTCTTCCAAAAACTTCTAATGATTTTTTTTCTTTTTCTTTTTTTTTTTTTTTTTTTAATCATACCTGGGTTTACTAAATACCTTGAATTAGGTGGTAGGTTTCAATGTACTTTTCCTCTGTTCTTCCCAGGTATATTCTGTACCTCCCTTTGTCTTGCTCTTCCTCTTTTTGTCACCTGATGTGTGTTTGTTAGAACACAATCCTCTATTTTTTTCTTCCCAGGACAATTTTATGACTGGTGCTGCCCACCACTATCACCCTTCTATTCAGACACATTTCTTTTCTGGCTCTGGCTTCAGTGAACTTATCAACCTTAACAGCTAGAATATTTGATGAAATACTCCTTGAGCTAGGGATACAAAATTCATCATTTTACTTGCTGAGCCTAATGGGGGTATATATGCATATCTCTAAGAACTGACCATTTACCTGTATAGAAATTCCTCTTAACCTAAGTAACAAGAAAATAAAATTCTTGAAAGCAGTTTACAGGATCAATGGCTTTGGTCTATATACTTTAGAATGTCTCGGCAAGACAAATTATTCCCTTCCTTTACACTTTAGAATTTAATTAATACCTCCTAAAAACCCTCTTATAATTGATTTTACACAGGATATTTCACTATATAACTGTTTCATATCAATTTCAAGTTTCTGAGCCCTCCAACTGGCTGGAAAATTATTTTTTGTCAGGATCTAAAATTAATAAAAAGGAGCAAATAAAATTTCTAATATTGTGCATAAAAGATAACTCCAAGCTTTTAAAGCATGCTTTGTTTTTTAACCAACATAGAGCAAATTTTTAGAAAAAAAATTTTTTTTTCAACGTTTATTTATTTTTGGGACAGAGAGAGACAGAGCATGAACGGGCGAGGGGCAGAGAGAGAGGAAGACACAGAATCGGAAACAGGCTCCAGGCTCTGAGCCATCAGCCCAGAGCCTGACGCGGGGCTCGAACTCACGGACCGCGAGATCGTGACCTGGCTGAAGTCGGGACGCTTAACCGACTGCGCCACCCAGGCGCCCCAGAGCAAATTTTTTTAAATGTACCATTTTGGGGCACCTGGGTGGCTCAGTCGATTGAGCAGCTGACTCTTGGTTTCTGCTCAGGTCATGATCTCACAGTTCATGGGTTTGAGCCCTGCATCAGGCTCTGAGCTGACAGCACTGAGCTTGCTTGGGATTCTCTCTCTCCCTCTCTCTGCCCCTCTGCTGCTTGTGCTGTCTCAAAATAAATAAATAAACTTAAAATAAAATAGAATAAAACAAAAATGTACCATTTTGAGGTTAAGTGTGGCAAAATCCTGACAACTAAAAGTGGATGATGGGCATATGGGCGATTCACTGTTCTATTCTCCCTTCTGCATATGCTCAATTTTTTTTTTAACAAGAAAAACAAAATTTTAATGCATTATTTTTTAACAAGGGCCTGTGTCAAAATCTCTAGTTGTTGGGGGATATTAATAACTTAATCATACAAAGTTAATCAAGGGGAACAGAAAATGTCTTTTTAAAAATTGACTAGGGACTGACAGTGCCTGGGTGGCTGTCGGTTGCGCACCTGACTTTGGCTCAGGTCGTGATCTCGCAGTTCATGAGTTTGAGCCCTGCGTCGGGCTCTGAGCTGTCAGAGCCTGGAGCCTGTTTCAGGTTCTGTGTCTCCCTCCCTCTCTGCCCCTGCCCTGCTCATTCTCTGTCTCTGTCTCTCTATCAAAAATAAATAAAACATTTAAAAATTTTTTAAAAATTGACTAGGGACTCTAGATGGGTCACGTGGTCAAAAACTAGTTTTCAAGTTCAAGGGGCAAAAAGGAATGACTGCTCTTCTCCTAAAATGCTCTGTTTGTTTTTAAAATTTTTTTTAATGTTTATTTTTGAGAGAGAGACAGAGCATGAGTGGGGGAGGAGCAGAGAGGGAGACACAGAATCCAAAGCAGGCTCCAGGCTCTGAGCTGTCAGCACAGAGCCCAACGTAAGTCTTGAACCCACGAACCGTGAGATCATGACCTGAGCCGAAGTCAGACGCTCAACCGACTGAGCCACCCAGGCACCCCTGTTTTTTAAATTTTTGTAATGTTTATTCTTTTTTAAGGGAGAGAGAGACAGAGCTCAAGCAGGGAGGGGCAGAGAGAGAGGGAGACAAAGAATTCGAAGCAGACTCCAGGCTCTGAGCTGTCAGCACGAAGCCCAATGCTGGGCTCAAACTCATGAACTATGAGATCATGACCTGAGCCAAAGATGGATGCTCAACCAATTGAGCCACCCAGGTGCCCCTAAAAGGCTCTGGTTTTTTAATGCCCAGTGTTCCCTAGAAGAAATAAGCTGTATCTATCTGACATGAAAAGAGTTCAGACAGCTGGAGTTAGGTCTATTTAAAATCTTAAATAAGTCAGGGCAACTAGTTTTCTAAATGCATTAAACTTTTATTAAAATTCTGAGACCAGGGGGGTCTGGGTGGTTCAGCTGGTTTAGCATCTGACTCTTGATCTTGGCTCAGATAATGATCTCATGGTTCTTGAGTTTGACCCCTGCATCAGGCTCTGTGCTAACAGCACAGGGCCTGCTTAGGATTCTCTCTCTCCCTTTTTCTCTCTGTCCCTCCTCTGAGTACACACACATACACTCTCTCTCAAAATAAATAAATAAGCTTAAAAAAAAAACCTGAGACCAGTAATGTATTCTGAGCTTACTTGATTTGAGGCACCTGAAGAGAATGCTCTTTGGACAAGATGACATCCTAACAGCAAGCCTTAAGTTCATGAGGGAGTTTCTCAGAGTTCTGAAACCCTGACCCCTACTTAGAAACATTTGGGTGAAAAGACAGTATGAGGATTACTGGGTAAAATGTACTTTTTAAAATCTCTACTTCTCTAATAAAGAGTAGGAAGAGTGATAAAATATAAAATAATGATATATAAAAAGTAAGAAAGCTCAATGGAATAGCTTTTGCTCTGGGTCTGTCATGTATAAACCTCTATAAGAGCACTTATCTCACTGTATGGTTGTTTATATTCCTACTCACCCTGCACCCTAAGAAACTAAGAGTCTCCATATATCCTAATTATCTTTACATCGAGAATCAGGCCTGGAAGAGATGTACTTAATATGAGCCAACTAAATGAAAGAGCCTATTTAAACTAAAATACTCATTTTATCCAAATAAATAATGCAAAGCAGTGTCTTTATTTATAAATAATTCCAACTTAGATCTTTATGTATTGTTCAAAAAAAGACTAACATTCAAGAAAATATCTGTTCTTTCACCTCAGAGCTAACCAATAGGACAGTAATAATCCTGGCTTTGATAGTCATGAACAGTCTAGTTCTCTAACAATTAAAAGAAAAGAGGGACACCTGGGTGGCTCAGTTGGTTAAGTGTGGACTCTTGATTTCAGCTCAGGTCATGATCTCATGGTTTGTGAAATCGAGCCCACACTGGGCTCCATGATGAGTGTGGAGCCTGCTTGGGATTCTCTCTCTCTCCCTCACTCTCTGCCCCACCCCGGCTTGCACGTGCACACATGTGCACAAGCTCTGTCTCTCAAAATAAACCTTAAAAAAAGTTAAAGAGTGCTATATGTTACTCTGTGCTCTGCTAAACCAAATAAAGTTTTCAGAAACACTATAAAATTCATTATGTATTTCAAATTACTAAAAGTACTTTTACCTGTAAAATTGGGTCTTCTATTTTCCTTTGGAATAAAAGAACTGGTTGCTTATGAGATTCTCTGAAAGCTTAGCCAATATAAGGCCAGATCTAAATGTATACCTTCTTTTAAGGTATGAATAATAGCTTGAAGGAAGGAAGAGAAAAAAAGAGAGAAAGAAAAGAAAGAAAAGAGAAGAGAAAAGAAAAAAGAAAAAAGAAAAAAGAAAGAAAGAAAGAAAGAAAGAAAGAAAGAAAGAAAGAAAGAAAGAAAGAAAGAAAATGTGGCTTAAGAATGTATTTTGTTGGGGGCGCCTGGGTGGCGCAGTCGGTTAAGCGTCCGACTTCAGCCAGGTCACGATCTCGCGGTCCGTGAGTTCGAGCCCCGCGTCGGGCTCTGGGCTGATGGCTCGGAGCCTGGAGCCTGTTTCCGATTCTGTGTCTCCCTCTCTCTCTGCCCCTCCCCCGTTCATGCTGTGTCTCTCTCTGTCCCAAAAATAAATAAAAAAAGTTGAAAAAAAATTAAAAAAAAAAAAAAAAGAATGTATTTTGTTGGGGGCACCTGGGTGGCTCAGTCAGTTGGGCATCCAATTTTGGCTCAGGTCATGATGTCACCGTTGCATGGGTTTGAGCCCCATGTTGGGATCTGTGCTGACAGCTCAGAGCCTGGAGCCTGCTTCAGATTCTGTGTTTCCCTGTCTCTCTGCTCCTCCACCACTCTCACTGTGACTCTCTCCAAAATAAATAAACATTAAAAAAAAAAAAAGAATGTATTTTGTTTCTCTATAACTTCCCATGTGCAACTTTTACAATAACAAAACAACCAAGACATGTTATTTTTAAAAGAATATGTTTTCTATCATACCAATGCTGGTATTAGGGATTAGTCAATATTTTAGCTCTTAGGGACATTTCAACATTTAACTTAAAGCACTAGGTGAAAATGACTTATTGTCACCTTGACTCTCAAAGTTGCAAGTGCATCAAAAGTGTCTTACTCTTTTGTAATTACCAAAATCATGTTCTTCCAGGGCTGGAGCTGAAGAAAGCACTCAAAATCAGGACCCTATTTCAACGTGTGTAGGTAAGCTAACTGCACCCAAGATCTACTTAATCCAACTACATGCTCTTTGTTTTTAACTAAGCTTTATGTCTCCTGGTTGAAGTGAATTTGATAGCCTTAAAAAAAAAATCCTGTGGAATACACACACACACACACACACACACACACACACACACACTTTCCATTACAGAATGCCAGTTAACTATTTTACCTTCAAAGATGCACTAGATGTATCATGTTACAGTATAATAAACAATAGAAATAGGTTTGCTACGGAATAATAGCAGATCCTGGCAAGTAGCAGCTTGAACATACATGAACAATATCATTTTTCTCCCATCTGGAAAGTCCCAATTCCTCATGAACTTTCCCCCATCAAACTACTTCTATTGTTGCTGCAGAAGTTGTTCACTATAACTTTCTATATCTAAGAAGCTGTTGCTCTCAGTCATGGAGAGGCTTGCCCTTGCCTCTGTCTCCCCCACACCCCCAAAAAAGATAATAAATTATTACCTGATACAGGACTGAGGGATTCCATAGTTATACTCTGAAACATGAGGGACTCTTTGAATAACGGGAATATCATAATCCCCCAGTATTGGAGAAAAGTGATTTGATGAAAAGAGCGAAGTGTTAGTTTCTGTTTGCACATAGGAACCAGCAGCTGTGGCATTCCGAATTCTTGTTTTTGTATGGTGTTGGGAATCAGCCGGCAGCATGCGTTGGAGCACTTTTAAGTAACTAGACTTCTGTTTGTTTACAGAAGAATCTGATAACCTGCACATTTCAAGCCCGTTGTTGCTGGTAGTTCTGTCTTTGTTGTCAGCAGGAGAATCAAAATGCAGTTGTCTGCGAGGGCCAGATCTGGATTCCTGAGGCTTAATGTGCAGGCTGTTTGTCTGAAGAGGATGCTCTGGGCTACTGACTGCTTTATCTTCTTCTTGCATAATCTTAATGATTTTGATAAGTTGGAAGAGACGTTTGCGGTCATTCATGTCATGGACTCCCAATTTGGAATAGTCCTTCATTGTAACCTTGGCTAATTCATCTATTTTTTGAAGACCAAGGGCAGTAAAATGAGGATAATACTGTGCAAGTTCAGCTTCACAAAGACATTCATACAACCAAGATGTCATTTTTTTGTGAATGAGTTTCTATAACTTCTGAATAGGAAAAGAAAAAAGCCATTCACTTGAAATATTCCTTTAAAAATGAAAATCACAAAACATGCAGAAAATCCATTCTAACATACCAAGTTTTCAATATACATTTTCTTCTGAAATAATTAAACAGCACACTGCACAAGCAAAGATGCTTATGATACATTTGTAGTAACAGATGTAATTTATCAAATGGAACTTTAATTGTGTATATACATAGGTACATGCGCGCACACACACACAAGTCACTTACTTTTTTCTAGGGAGTTCCTTCCAATCTTGCAATGTCTACTTAACACATGTCACAAACTACTGAAACATTGTTCCCAACCACTGATTGTGGCAAGACTAATTTTAGATGTTCAAGTTAATGTCAAGGCATGTTGCACAACTGTTTCCTATGATTAATGAACAAAGGCTAAGAAGTCCTTCAGAATGGAAAGCAGAATTAAATAGCAAACCACAGAGGATTATAAACTAACATAACTCAGAGGAAATCACATTTGTATCTGCTGGGTACTGGTAAAAGCTAGTTGAATAAAGAGGTAAAAACATCAATTCAGAATCTAATTCAGGGTCTCAGATCATTCTAAAAGGTAAGTAAAGGTAGGTGGTTGTAGATGTCAACTTGTGCAGAATACAAATAAAGTAATTTACCTGAGATTTAAAAAATTGTTCAAGATCTTATAGGGGCATCTGGCTGGCTCAGTTGGTAGAGCACATGACTCTTGACCTTGGGGTTGTGGGTTCGAGCCCCATGCTGTGTGTAGATATTATTTTAAAAAACAATAATTACCAAAAAAAAAATCAAGTGCTTTAAAAAAATGATTTTATATGGTTGCTGGGGCACCTGGCTGACTCAGTAGGAAGAACATGTGATTCATAATCTCAGGGTTGTGAGTTCATGCCCCACGTGGGTATAGCAATTATTAAAATAAACTTTAAAAAAGGTTTTATATGGTAGAACATTAAAATGCTTAAAAACTTTTAACAGTGAGGTATTTAATACTAACAAATAATGTGTTAATTACACATAATCCACATAATCCTGGTTTATTACTAAAATCAGGATCCTGAGGAATTCTACACACCACTGTTAGAGAAACAGAGCTCAGGGCCAGGTAATAAAGGTGATTAAATTACAGTGTATAATTAACTTTGGAGGAAATGCTACTTAGGCTACAGAAAAGGCCAAAGAAGCCTAAGTAATATATCCTAAATTCATCCTGACCTTTTCCATCTGTGGTAGATTTGGGGGAGTCAGGGAAGGCCACAAATTCTTTGCAGGTCCTTTCACATCAAGAGGCAGTGTCTTTTTCCTCCCATTGCATCTAGGTTAGCCCTGTGACTTGTTTTACCTGACAGAATGTGGTAGGGGTGACACTGTTTGACTTCCATACCTAGGCCTCAAGAACCCTTGCAGCTTCTGTTCTCTTGCAACTCTCTGCTGACAGGGGAAGCCCAGCCAATAGTCATCATCAAAGTCAGACATGTGAGAGAAGCCATCTTAGACTATTCTGTCCCAGTGGCACCATGAAATGACTGCAGCCACACAAGTGACTGGCCCAGTGAGACCAGAATTACCTAGCTAAGCCTAGTCCAAACAGAGGACTCAAAGAACCGTGGGCAAATAGTTGTTTCAAATCATTTAATTTTGGGGTAGTTTACTGCACAGCAGTAGATAACTGTAACCATGTTTCTATGCCTTTTTACATGTTGTATCTTTGCTTGAAATGTTCCCAACCCCCCTGCCTAAAATGAGTTATGCACATCCTTTCAAAATAGCTCAATAGCTCTCTGTCCCACCCTCCCATGATGCCTTCTTTCATTTCTCATCCTCTTCTACCATTTTACCACCAAGTACATTATGCAGTAGCCAAATCAGGCTACCAATCCCTTTACAACTGTTTCTTCTAGCTGGAATATCTGTCTTTCCCAAGAGAAATTCTATTCATATTTTTCTTCTGTGACATATGCCCTAGGCAAGGGATAACTGGTATTTCCTCTGTACTTCAGTAATAATAATAATAATAATAATAGCAACTAATATCTTTGAGCATTTATTATGTACCAGGCACTGTTCTAAATACCATTTGTTAACCTTTAATCTTATGAAGTAGATACATGTGTGACCTTCGGCAAGTTATTTATTTAACATCTATGAAACTCATTTTTCTCAACTGTTTATTTTTTTTTAAGTTTATGTATTTGAGAGAGAGAGAAGCACATGCGTGAGTGGCGGAGGGGCAGAGAGAGAGAATCCCCAGCAGGCTCCACACTGTCAGTGCAGAGTCCAATGTGGGGCTTGAACTCAGCACCCATGAAATCATGACCTGAGCCGAAATCAAGAGTCCGATGCTTAACTGACTGAGCCACCCAGGTGCCCCATCTCAACTGTTAAATAGGAATGTAATAGCCCCTACAGTTCCTAGGATTAGGATTCAATGAGAAAATACTTGGGGCACCTGTGGCTCAGTCAATTGAGTGACCAACTCTTGATTTCTGTTCAGGTCGTGATCCCAGGGTCAAGGGATCAAGTCCCACATCGAGCTCTGTGCTGAGTGTGGAGCCTGCTTAAGATTCTTTCTCTCTCCCCGTCTCCTGCTCGCATGTGAGCATACACTTTGAGAATGAATGAATGAATGAATGAATGAATGAATGAATGAATGAATGAATGAATGAATAAATAAGAAAATACTTGTAAAACTCTCAGCATAATGCCTCGTACATACTCAGTGCCCAATAAGTATTGGTAGTTATTACTACTGTGATTTATTTCTATACTATTAACTTCACTTAGCACAGATGCTAGAACAAAATAAGCCTTCAATGTTTTGTTGTGTTTTAAATTACTTCTAAGCAGTTACATTTCCTACTTGGCTCAGCCTAACCCAGAGCAACAGCTTAAGTGCTATGCAGTCTTCAATTTCCACAGGCTGTACAAAATCATATATTTCACATACTCATTTCCTTGGTGACATACCAAACTGCTAACCATGACTTCTACTGCATCCCTTAATCCGTACTTGAAATACTAACATATTCCTCTTACAATGCTTGCATATCCCATAATACCATGGGAAGGGAAGATGCTGGAGATAGTAGTAATCTGAACATGCAGATTAAAGCAGCCACTAGCATGCTTCTGTATTAACTGGCAGCGTGCTGCCTTTCTGAGCCCCACAGTTAGCCTACATTCTTTTATTTTTTGGGTTTTCTTTTTGCAAAGGAAAAAGGTGTTTTCATTAAAGCACAGGGATGGGACCCATGAGCAGAAAGAGCTGCTCTTTTGTTTTAAAATTAGATATGCTTTTTTGTACCACATTCCATTTTACAAAGGTCCAACCTCCTCTTCCTTCTGGGGTAAACATCAGAATCACCCTAGGAACTTAAAAATATAAAGATAACTGAACCCCATCCCAGATACATAGAAAAATTAAAAAAAAACAAAAACAAAAAAACCTCCCAGCATTGAGGGGGACAAACCTAACAACACTGACAAAGTCCCCCAGGTGGCTATGGTTTTAGTCCACTGATCTATATTTATCAAAATTACAAACCCAAATACACTGACCCAGCAATTCTACTTTTAGGAACCTATCTTACAGATACTGTGTAGAAGTACAAAGTGACATAGGTACAAAGTTATTCATCACAGCACTTTATATAATAACAAAGAATCAGTATAGGAACTGGTTAATAACAACCCATTAAATGGGATACTGTGAAGCAATTACAGAGCGAAAGTAAACTCTCAATTTATTAGTTACATGTTTATTTAAACATTATTTAAAAGAGAGAGAGAGAGAGCAAGCACTCAAGCAGGGGGTAAGGCAGAGAGAGAGGAGAGAGAGAATCCTAAGAAGGCTCTGTGCTGTCAGCTCAGAGCCCGATGCAGGGCTTGATCTCACGAGATGAATAACTGAACTGTGAGATCATGACCTGAGCCAAATTCAAAAGCTGTTATGTAATAGTCTCCTTCTAACACTAGCCCTCTACCAACTAGTTCCCCTCCCCCAAGGAGGACTATTATATACCAATAAATGCTGGTATCTATTATTACCTTTTCTATTGTTATTTCTATTTCATTGCTGTCTCCATCACCCAGAGCAGGACCTCTAGAACAGCTGTTTTAAAAATTTTGAAACTATGCCACTATATCTTCTTTAAAAAATATATTTCTAAATCCATCTACCTTCCTCCCTCCCAGCCTTCTCAAATTGACCTGATACAACTACTTGTTACTATTTTGGTGTTTTTCTCCCTGGCCTTTTTTTTTTTTTAATGCATTTTTTAAACATTGTATATAACATCATACTCACAACTATATTATAATCCACTTTTTAAATCTATTTACATAAGCATTTTCATATGCTGTTTGTTATAGCCATTAAAAAAATTCACACAATTATAAATAATGTTTGCTGAATACATGAATTAGCCCAGGGAGATAAGATTTCTCTCTCCAAACTCCTATAGTGTTTTGACTGTAAAACTGATAGGGCACTTATTACAGACTCATATATTTTTTAAATTTATTGCCAGCCTTGTTCCAGAGATGACGTAAGGTGGCTCTGCCTTATACTATAATGTGAATTCTTCAAGAGAAAAGCAGTATGATCTGCTCAGTCTAGCATTTGAGCTAGAAAGGTGCGTAACCAGTATTTGTTGAACGTACACAATCTGCTTAGACAGGACAAAGAACAAAAAGTTTCACCATTTCTATTTTTTAACCAAGGCAACTAAAGGATTACAAGATTGCCTGGGGGCACCTGGGCGGCTCAGTCAGTTAAGCATATGACTTCAGGTCCTGATCTCACAGTTTGTGGGTTGGGGCCTGCTGACAGTGCGGAGCCTGGAGCCTGCTTCAGATTCTGTGTCTGCTTTCTCTCTGTCCCTCCCCCACTCAAGCTCTCTCTCTCTCTCTCAGAAATAAATAAAACATTAAAAAAAAAAGAATGTATGAAACTTATGTCGTTGGAGCCATTTTCTCTGTTTCCTAA